GGCCATTCCGGTCTCCCTTTGCTTTGTCGGATCCACTTCTTCAAATATATATGGAGCCCCTTTAACAATTGCACAGCGGTTAAGGATATAGGCAGAATTTTATTACCAGCAAAGACACGGGATTGCCAATAGAGAAGAATATGCGAGTTATAGGAAGCAGTTAAGAAGAAAATGTTCTCCTTGGAAACAGAGCTTTATTTTCCTAACGTCAGCTGGCAGTTGTGGAAAAAGCAACTACGTTGGAGAAACCGGGAGTTTACTCCGAACGCGAATGGCCGAGCATGCAGCGACGGTGAAGAAGAAAGAGGCCCGCTCCCAGGTTGCAGTTCAGTCGACGGGACTCAGCCATAATTTCCAGTTTGACGAAGCCAAAATCCTCGCAAAAGGTGAAAACCGCGTGAGCCGCGAGCTGCTCAAGTCATGCTTCTCAGGCCCCCAGTCCATCATCAAGCGCAGCGATTTGGCGTTCTCATACGGTCTACTGAGATATTTCCTTAGAAACATGATCAGTCACGTGAGAAGGATCGGGCGCAGCAACAACTCTGACGATAGGGGGCATAATTGTCCCGCAATTATCTAGCCCGCATCTGACGCAGACAAGAAAACTATGGCATTTAATCAGCCATCACCGCACCAATTAAGATCTCAAGCGGTGGCTACGAGAACTGACAATTATCGCACGCATGCGGATGAACTATGAATACCGTGCAATCTGTACATGTAGCACCCTCATCTGCGCATGTCTAAGACTTTCCTACGCGTTAAAACAAAGTGATCACCTGCGTCGCCCCTGTTATAACCGAGTGTGTTCCTATGTCAACATCGGTTTTGTCCCCCAGTTACGTGTTAGGAAGAGAAGGCAGAACAGGATAGCAGATAGTACTTTCCTGTGAGTTGTACTAGTACATCAGCTCTGTTTCCTGTGTGTCCAGCAGCTTATCTTCTCTGGTCGGTCTCGTCTCGGCAGCAGAGTCTCGGGTCGTCGGCAGTGTCTCCAGCACCAGAGTGGGCGCCTTCAGCGGTGGCAGCATATTAAAGAGCCAGTAGTCATTGGTCGCCATTGGCTTTCCACGAGTGGACGTGCACAGGCTTGCTTCCGTGCGCCTTTGCATCTGTCCTCAGCGTGACCTCCAGACAACAGCAATCCGGTCCCGGGTCAGTCACGCTTGCGCCTGCCTCCTTTATCCTGGTGTAATGTCCGCCCATTGAAGGTCGCTTGTAAATGCATGAACTGGTTGTCAGTAAGGTCCCGTTGTTCTGGTACGCTCAGAATTGTCCGAGTGATAACTCACGTCCGGGCTGTCCCAACATACGATTACCTATGATTAAGGATTCTGGGCAAAATCCTAAAAGTCAGAAGAATAAAACACTTTTTCCAGTGATTGCATCTTCTTCTGAAAGACAAGGGCGACGGGAATAGTCGTTTCTGTCTTGTGAGCCGTCATCAGCCAGCTATACTCAATGACAGGTGGACGGTTGGTCTAATAAGATGATTCACCCAAAAAGGTCGCAGGCCCTTAACCATAACCTTTCCAAGGCACATAGCATTGCCGGCAAAGAGAAGCGAGATGTAAATGGCCATTCGTGGCTTATCAGCTTTCGTCAGTCTGTCGTACCCAGCCCGAAGTGGTGCACCACCCGAGTGTGACACCCTAACCATTGAGCTACGGGCCGCCGTCCTGGCAGTTTAGGCCGAGCGATATTGATACGCCTCGATTAACCTTCACCGATCGCTAACTTTCTCTCCTTTTGCAGATGCTGCTTGACTACCACGAAATTTGGATTGATGGGGAACACAAATGGGGCCTGCCGGTTGTCGCTGTCATTGGCGGCCTCCCGAACCGCAAGTCAGTACAAGTTAAAGCTGGCGCAGCCAACGTGAGTCGATGCTCTGCTTGCAGTAATTACAGTCCTTTTTACCAGTGCACATTGCCTAACATTTTTGTTTGTTGTGCCTTTCAGGTGCCCCTGGTAGGCCTGTTCGGTTGTGTGGACGAATTCAATCTGGCCGGACACAACTTCGACGTGGGCGCATCCAAGCGACCCAATTGTCCTCAGTGCTTCATTCTGGATTCCGCGGCTGCTCACGTTAGGCCACAGATGGCCAGCTTTCTAACCTCGGGGCGACGCAGACCGATATCGATGAAATGTAAGCCCGAATTGCAGCCTGAATTTCTCCAAACAGTAAAATACGTTCAGAACCATTCATTGGCTTACCGAGCTGGCGTCCTAAAAAATTAAATGAGTTAGAAAATATTCTATTTATATGTGTTACTAAATCGAAGCTAATAGACTGTGTGTGTTTACTCAAATTCTAAATTTCTTGACTACGTACTTGGTCATACACAGTTCGGGTCAGGTGTATTAAGGGACTTGTAGGTAAATGGCTTTGCATTCCCTATTTTATACAGGGCAGCTATAAAATGCATTGGTTCATCAGATCATTGCAAAAGAGTGGGGTTGCCAGTAACTGGAACTGTGTAGAAAGAGTAGACAGTAAAAAAACTCCTTAGGCATCGTTCGGAAATGTTAGAGGTGAATGCCATTTGAGGGATTTTAAGAAGAAAAACTGTCGCCCGGGGAGCTGGAGGGGGGGAGGATCATATGCAAAAGTGTTTGAAGCATGTCGGAAGGAGCCCATCGCGGTTTTTATCAATATCCTAAGAGCCACACAAGGAGAGGACCACGGAGGTCACGAGAGCATCATCGAGTGTCGGAGATGCGCCCATCTTACGCCGTTGCTGGTTATCGAGTCTGCCGTCCAGGTGACGAAGCAGAGGACCCAACCACGATCCTCAGCATTCGGTTATGGATAGCCATTAGGAAGAAATTTGCAGGGCCGCGTAGCCTAGGATCACAAGGTTCGGTGGAGGCGATCGTTTCAATTCACATAAAAAGGAAAGCGTACGAGGCAATAATTCTAGACAAATATTAATGAAAAGTAGCGAATAGTATGTTTTATAACATGCAATTACTCGGTGGTGTCCTGCGACATTGCCTAAGGCTAATTTCAGAGGACGTAGTGTGCATTACTACTTGAACTCACTACAACAATCTGGCTTCCTGTTAAAGATTCCACGTCTGTAATTGGGGGCTTCCCGTGAGAGGCTCTGTTCTTACCAAGCTGATATATGTCAATTCCTCGTTTATAAACACCGACCGTCTCCACATCAGGTACTGTAGCGGAAAAATACCCTTCGTCGGTGGCCTAGACAACCCTGGCCTTGGAATCCCTCCCTCTGCAGAAGAAGATCCGATCACTGGAACAAGAATTTCTATTTTCCTGAGGTTTCGGATTCTATAGAGAATCCTTAATCATAGGAAACCATAGAATGGTGTATGTGACATGCACGGATAGGAGTGATACATGCATAGATTGCGTGGTATTTATAGTTCACTGCGGCCATCCGCATGCGTACTACAATTATTAGTTCCTGTTACCGCCGCTTGGAGCCGTAATTAGTGCAGTGATGGCTTGGCAGTTTGCTTTCGAGTCATCAATTTTCGCGATTTTGTGGTTGTAGAAAAACGTACCTAACGGGACCCAAGCAGTTAATGTACTTTCAAAGAACTCTGATGAATTTTAAACATCACCAGGCTCCTGGTATTACTGTGACAACTAGGCAACCTTTATAGCCTGCCAGTGCTCTCCTAAAATATGCATCCGTCTTTATCTTTCCCACGCCTCCCTACAGTCCAGCCGCTGAACAATGCTAAACTGCGTTGGAGACTATCCTTTGAGGTGCTCTACAATCCTGGCGAGGTCAGCGAAGCCAGCTTGTTTGTTCTTGTCTTCCGATCACCCCTCGATGATAACGAAGTTCGTCTCTGGATCCACTTAAAACGACGAAAGGTAAAAGTGCTTGCTTTTATGTGTCATGACTTGCGGGTTACATTTAAGTTTGCGTTTTGTTACAGCCCGCAACTGTATGTAATGGAAACACCCATCCACCTCAGGCGAACGATCAGTTAGACGGTGGCCAGTTGCTGTCGGTGACGTAGAGAGTGAGGTCGACTCGCACCGCATTCCTTTCCTTAATAAAGCAATTAGGTGCGTTTGAAGTTATCGCGGTGCGCTAAAAGCCGTATCTTGGGGGGTAACCAACTGAAGAGATAACGTGCGCACCGCAGTCAGCCCTGTGTGTGTCTTGTTCTGTGGAGAGGCTTACTCCGGTCCGAGAGTCAGCCTTAATGGCTCCTTCTTAATGAAGACTTTATGGTGCTCTCAGGTGGGAACCTACATAGCGAGGTTTGTTGTTGGTACGTGTGTTGAGTGTGGGTCGCGCCAGCCGCCTGCGCCCTCCCTGATCTCCAGTCTGCCTCACTCTGTTCTGACACCGGGTTCAGGTGAGGGAGTGGGATAGATTCTCCGCAAGTCTACTTCACTATAATCTCTCGGAAGTCTTCGCATTGCTTCAGCCTGCTGAAGCGCGTGCTGGACATCGTCGAGAGTGACGATCGAACTGTGGCCATCCTGGAAACAATGTTCATCGATGTAGGATACATTTTTAACGGTTGACTGCTGAATTGGCGTTCAAGTGCAACCTTTTTGCCCATGTGATCAGCGAGGTGCTTGAGACATAAGATGCGAGCGTTACGCTGAAAGCAGAAGTACAGTAGTCGCCGGCTATTAAGCCCACGGCTAATAAGCCCAGCCACGTATTAAGCCCACATCAGCTTGGGACGGAATTTTACATAGCAAAATCCGCCGGCTAATAAGTCCATCAACTTGGGACGGAATTTTACATAGCAAAATCCGCCGGCTAATAAGCCCGGTCGCCGGCTACAAAGCCCAGTTTGCCGGATGTCATTTTTTTTCATTTTTGAAGTTAAATTTGGCGACACCCTTTTCGGACGGCAGTAGACATGAGGGGTGAAAAGGACAAATACCTAACACGAGAAAGCCGTAGGCGCAAAAGGCTAACGCACCCGAACCACAGCGCTGAGGACACACACACACAAAAAGGCTCACGCTAGACGATGCTGACAGGCGTTACCCCAAAGCATAGCAAGGTCGTCTGGCTAGCTTCCCTAGGTCTCGAAAACACAGACAAAGAGCATTCTTTTCTTGCACATAACC